CCTTGAACCTTGTACATACTTCTAGAATTATTCTAGAGCACTCATATACCTAAGGGAACTAAGATAAGTCTAAAAGGATTCTAGAAGCAAGTCTAGAACATTCATGCTCTAGAGAAATCTTTTAAGAAGGTGGAAGTGCCTAGAAAAGGGGACACCCTCCCTCATTTGCATTTACCAAGCAATCAAGTGTTGTATTCTTCTCTTGAGCAATACAAGGAGTTCCTTTGAGTTCTCTATCTCTCTTTCCTTGTGTGTATTGTGCCTTTATTTCCTAAGTGTGTGCTTTAATGTGATAGACGAGTTAGTGAGCTACTTGGTCTCAAGAGCTAGGAGAGTGCTCTAAGTGGGAAAAGCTGACTTGTGGAGCGACGAACAATTGCCCCAAGTGCCCCACGAGATGCTAGAGGAATCTAGGTCCGTGACAGAGGGCTAGTAATCAACTGTCTCAAGAATCAAATTTGGCTACCATAGAGATTGAAGATTGTGGTTGATAAATGCCAGGACATTGGGGAGCACTTGAATTATGGAATATGCTATCAACATGTTTATCGTAAAGCAAATCAAGCTGTTGATCGGTTATCTCGCACTCCCTTCTCGATGATGTTTCTTCTCATTTGGAGTTGTCTAGAGATCTTTGTATAATTTGTTTTTTTTTTGGGGGGGGGGGGGATTCCAGATTAATACCCTATACTTTGCACCTAGTGTCACTTTGGTCTCTAAGCTTCAAAACGTGTCAATCAGTACCTAAGCTTTTAAAACGTGCCAACTCAGTGCTATTAAGTGGCATTTAAAAAGACACAAATACCCTTCAGGTGTCATCTAATTTTCTTTATCAACCGTCCAAATGCCTTTCTGAGAAGTCTAAACCATCTCTTTTATTCTTTCTTTGATATTTGTTCCACACCCGTTAGATGATCAACAATCCAACCTATCAGACCAACATCCTAGAAACAATCGTCCATTCGTCTTATCAATCAGATGCTTGAAAGATGAACTCTACACTTTGTAAAACCCAAATTGGAAGACAAGGAACATCCATTCTTCCTCCATTGAGATGTCCAAGAAGAATTACAAGTTACCGACATTAACAACGGTGTGAAGACCTAACATCACAGATGACCTATATTACCAACGAAAGTCAACAATGAAGCTACAATTTGACTTCTACTTTATAATGAATAAGCCCTTTATATCAAATTATAAAGCAGTAATCTTAAAATATGAAAGAAATGCAAATAATTAAAAAGGAGAATGACTAAAAGAAGAAACTGTTAGAGAAGGGGGTCACTCTCATGAGAGAATGCTCATCCTACGTACATCATATTGAAATTAACCGGCTCCATGACCTCTTTACATCAATCTAATGAGACATGACAACCTCCTCCTGATGTCTAAGACAATCTAATGGTTATTAATCTCTCTGTCATTCAGTTTCATCACAACAACAACAACAACAATGATACAATATATTCAGATCTTTAGAGCTCCCCAATTGTTATTATCAAAACAAGCCCATTTTAATCTATCCAAAGAGTGGTTGTTAAATCTCTTTGTCACTCAATTTCAACCTAGTATAATAACATAGTTGTTGCTATCAATGTTGGGGCCGAGGGCAACAAAGGAATTTCATTGGTGTTCGAGGCCAACGGGTCCAACCTGTGAACAGGAGAATAGTACACGTCAGAGGCCCCGAGTATTATCTAGGGGTGGAGACTTCGACAACCAAGTTAGTCAAGTGCCAAAGAGGGGTCAGACTAGGCTTGAGACAAGGGCTCAGAGCTTAGTCCTTAATAGCTAAGGAGAGATCTCTCGAGATACTGAATGCAAGAGAGCAAGTGAGAGCAAGATGTTTTTACCTTGAGATGTGCACCCCCTTTTATAGCTAACCTTGCCATAGAGTGGTTGGACACAGTTAAAGATGTGCGGCCAGGATTCCATCTGGTCGATGCCATGTGGCATGATCCAAGGCCTTCCAAGTACACCTACATCAACAGTCTTATGTGCATGAAGAACATGTTTGGTTTACAATATCTGTCATAAGATGTGCTGAGTTTTTTTTATCAATTACAATCTTGTCAAAACAATGGAAAGATAGGGAGATGGTGGCTTATTCTCTAACAGATAAGTCTACATGGAGCATAGAGTAGCACGATTCTTGCAGCCAATGCAGATTAGTTGAAATAAGGCATGGCTGAGTTCAATAGCATCTAGTCCCATTCAGTGTGAGAAACAACACAACACTCTTTGGTATATTCTTTTTTGTTCAGTGTTCTGTTTACAAGATATAGAGAGCTTCCAGAGCCACCGTTGTCCTAGGAAGTGTGTTTCCTTGTGTCCATTGCCGGCGAGCATTATCATTCTGGTATCCACCATTATGCCACAACTAGGTTTAATAGTTGCGAGCATTACCCTTATACAAAACTCTACCCAAAATTTATACCTCTGTTTCAATTTTTTGATGAAGGAGATGATGAACAATGTTTTATTTTGAAATGTAATTTTGACATTTTTAAAAGTTTTAAGTTGTACATAATGTCACATGATACATATAGCTGACAGATGGTTAACCGTAGATACTAAATTAGCACATTTTGAAAGCTCGAATTCTAGATTGACACATTTTAAAGTTCAGGGACCAAAATGACACTAAGCCCAAAGTTCAATGTCTGGACCATCCAATCTGTTCAAATTCATTTTGATTTAGATTAGTTTCAACCCAAACCCAATTCATTGACACATATATTCTTATCTTATATCAATGGGCCAGATATTGGTTTAATCCAACCCAATCCAATATAAATTTGTTACAGATGGATCGGGTCCAATCCAATCTAACAAATATTTTGGACCAGATTGGTCCAATCCAATATGTCTTGTTAGTTCGTCCTGGTCCATTGACACCCTTACTCACAACCTGGCATTCAACTTTAAAACTATCCGGTCATCACCAAGTGAGATTCGAAGCTAGTGATTGACTGTCTCAAGAATCAAATTCGGCTGCCATAGAAACATTGGGGAGCACTTGGACCATGGGATTTGCTACAAAATGTTTATCATAAAGCAAATTAAGATGTTGATTGGTTATCTCGCACTCTCTTTTCGGTGATGTTTCTTCTCATTTGAGATCTTTGTATAATTTGGTGCTATTTTAGTAATTTAATGCCATTAAGTGGCATTTGAAAAGATAGAAATATCCATCAGGTGTCATCTAATTTTCTTTATCAACCATCCAAATGCCCTTATGAGAAGTCTAAACCATCTCTTTTATTCTTTATCCTCTCTTTCTTTGATCTTTGTTCCACACCCATTAGATGATCAACAATCCAACCTCTCTTTCTTTGATCTTTGTTCCACACTCGTTAGATGATCAAAAATCCAACCTATCCGACCAACATCCCAGAAACAATCGTCCATTTGTCCTATCAATTGAAAGCTGAACTCTAAACTCTGTAAAACCCAAATTAGAAGATGAGAAATGTCCATTCTTCCTCCATTGAGATGTCCAAGAAGACTTACAAGTTACTGACATTAACAGCGAGGTGAAGACCTAACATCACAGATGACCTATATCACCAAATTATAAAATGGAGAGTGACTAAAAGAAATGCAAATAATTAAAAAGGAGAGCGACTAAAAGAAGAAACTGTTAGAGAAGGGGGTCACTCTCATGAGAGAATGCTCATCGTACATCATACTGAAATTAACTGGCTCCATGACTTCTTTACATCAATCTAATGAGCCATGTTAACCTCCTCTTGAGACAATCTAATTGATGGGGCCCCAACCTATTAGCATGCAGACATGCAGAGCAACCTGATGACTGTTAGAGAAGGGGGTCACTCTGTTAGAGAATAAACTGTTAGAGAAGAGGGCCACTCTCATGAGAGAATGCTCATCCTACACCATACTGAAATTAACCGGCTCCATGACTTCTTTACATCAATCTAATGAACCATGGCAATCTCCTCTTGAGACAATCTAATTGATGAGGCCCTGACCTATTAGCATGCGGACACGTGGAGCAACCTGATGACTAGATGACAACTCAAACACTTTCCACTACCTCAACTAGCCAAGTTAGTCCGGTATCTCAAGTACCTTGACTAAGATTGAGGTCCGAGCAGCTCGTGGTGTCCTGACCTGCCGAGGTGCCACATAGCCCACTTCTAGAAGCTAGCTGTCTCCAACCTTTTCTGGTACCCCACCGCCCGGATCGGACGGACCCAATAAGCCTTATCGGCTCATACGAAGTCCATCTTGGAATGCAAAACGGACTCTGGGTAGCATGGGCCGAGGATCTCGAATATGTTTCATGAGGCCTACGACAATTCGCCTATATAAGGGCATTACCTCCAACCTCATAAGGTACGCACGATTTAGCTCTCTAGCTCCCATATTCACAAGCATTCAAGCTCGCTACCACACTCTTTGCTAAGTTAAGCATCGAAGTGCCCACACCGGATAAAGCACCTTGGGTCCTCTGATAGTGTTTCCTTGTAGTTTGACTGTCCACGTAAGCAGACCAATGTCTGAACTACCATCTATCACTCAGTTTCATCACAACAATGACGACAACAATGATACAATATATTCAAATATTCAGAGCTCCCCGATTGTTATTATCAAAACAAACACATTTTAATCTATCCAGAGAGTGGTTGTTAATCTCTTTATCACTCAATTTCAACCTAGTACAATAACATAGTCTTATGTGCATGAAGAACACGCTTGGTTTACAAAATCTGTCATAAGATGTGACTGGGTCTTTTTTTTCTATCAATTACAATATTGTCAGAACAATGGAAAGAGAGGGAGATGGTGGCTTATTCTCTAACAAATAAGTCTACATGGAGCATAGAGTAACAGGACTCTTGCAGCCAATGCAGATTAGTTGAAATAAGACATGGCTGAGTTCGATAGCAGCCAGTCCCATTCAGAGTGAGAAACAACACATCACTCTTTTGTATATTCTTTTTTGTTCAGTCCAAAGTACAGGATACTAATCTGGAATTTCCCTTTTTTTAATTCTTGAAGAAATGATACTCCCCAGCTTATATAGCACATTTGGGGTTTTACTAAAACAAAAAAATTAACACTGTCTAAAATCTTCTCCTTGACGTGGAACTATCTTTATCAGGCCCATTTTGCCATTAGTGACATTCCACCAGCACCTAACAAAACAGCCAAGTAAGCCCATAATTGAAGCTTGACGCTACTTTGCAGCTTGGGCCCCATAAAATCATGGGCTAAGAGATCCACCAATGCCATGTAATTCAATAGGCCAGCCGATGATGCGTTCAATAGTCCCACCACGATGAGAGCCGTTGGGCTGGTGTCACTGTAGACATGTGATAAAGCAATCCCAAGTGCAATTCCAAATGGAGTTGTAGCTGAGAAGAAGAACACCATGATTGCTTTAATCTTGTTCCCGTATTCAGCCTGCAATATACATCCACCAAGCCCCATTCCTTCAAACATTTGATGGAAGCAAAGAGCTGCCACGAGTGGTTTGATTGTGCATGGATTTTGAGAGGCGCCCAACGAGAGCCCAATCACTATTGAGTGGACTATAATGCCCATTTCCAGAACCTGTACATAGTATGTCGTGGTTACTTTTAAAATTACATATGAAAAGCTCCTACTTTAACTTTGTTCATGTTCTTTTATTTTTTAGATAAATAAGATAATGATTATTTTAGTTATAAAAACGTTATTATTAAAAAGGGTATTTTTGTTCTATATGAGTATTGGCAACATGAAAGTTATTTATCCACCTCGGAGATGAATATCTTATTAAAATTTTCCTAAAAGTTATTATTAAAATTTTCATGAATTTTATATAAATCTAAAAAAAAAAAAAACACATAGGCATCTTAATCAATGAAAATCCAAATAAAAAACAAGCCCTAAAATTAAAGATTAAACAATGATCAAATCTTTTTCCTTTCTGCTATTTAACATTTTACCTTGGTGGTTTGAACTTTGAATTGTGTAAAAGAGAGATGATTAGCCAAATGTGTTGAGCTTGTAAGTGGGACATATATATTATTCTTTTGGAGAGAGAGAGAGAGGGGCACATCACAGTTTGGATCAAGGTTTTTAAAACTGACCCGGATAATGAACCAGTCAGGGGTCCGGTTCTTGGGTTGAACGGTTCGACCATTCAAACTGAACGATCAGCCTGTTCTGACAAAAAAAGAGCGACCAAAACCATTAAACAGTTCAATCACCTGGGTCAGCGGTTTGCTAACCAAATCAACGTTTTTCTGCAAATATCCAGTTTTTCCGGTTCAATCGTCCGGTCCGATCCGGTTTTGAGAACCATGGTTTGGATGACTTTCTTTTGATGGAGGGGATTTGATAGTCTGTTCAGTCATTCTAATTAACATTACTGTTTAATCTATTTTTTTTTTTGTTTTGTCTGTCACAAAATCACAAAATGAAAACAAATAAATCGAAAAGTAAGAAGGAAATGGACCTCAGCAATTATGCGATTTCTTAATAATTGCATGGTGGCTTCTTCATCTCTCTTGTTATTTCTCACATGGCAATGCAAAGCATTCTCTGAATCAACAGCACCATTCACGGGTTCAACAATTCCTGCAACGTTCTCGTCCAAACAACATTTCTTGTAATAGCTCGATGCAAATGAATCTACCATTAGAGTTATTGTAGCAGATAACATAGCCACAAAAGTAGTGAACGGGAATTTCCTCCAGGGATTCTCAGGCAAACACAACGATCTCAAACAATCGAATGAGTCGGGCATTACGTGCATGTACCCAGTTGCGAGAATCACTCCCGATGCAAATGCTTTAACCAATACAAATAGATCTCTGTTGGGTTGAAGAAGAGGTACGGAGCGTGAGAAGAGAGGAAAACACACACCTATCATGCTAGTGATCAGTATAGCAGCAATGGCTATGATCTTCAGCCTTAGAGCCTCGGACTTGTTGTAGCAAATACCCATGGATCCCGGCCCACATTCCGACGGACTTCCGGCATCTGAAGCACCAGAGGTCAGTAATGCGGAAGAGAGAATGAAAAAGAGAGTGAGAGAAAGCTTAGAACGAGAGACCATAGCTAGCTGCAGAAAGGTTTTGTTTATTGGACAATGTACACATACTGACCTGTATTTGAAGGGATGAGGAATTGTTTTCGCAGAATCTGTTAGGAAGATTAACAGATTGGGGACTCAAATAGGTTGGGACTTGAGCTTAACCGTCAAAAAGCTTAGAATTTTACAATTTTTTTTTTTTTACTGGGTTTCCCTCATTGGCTAATGGAATTACGATTATTGTGGTTAAGAGATTGTGTAAAATTTGGGATTTAGTAGGGGTATTGGGTGAAAATGGAGAAATGTACAACCAAACTCGTGTTTGACTTGTGGGGCCTTTGCCCGGCACATGCTGGAACTTAAAAATATGAAGTGCTGTCCAACACTCTGAGTGAGTGCGTGCTACCAATGACCGATTATATGATCCCACGTCGGATTAAGGTCCCAGTCGACTACCCTTTTGTCACAAGTGAATTCTTTGCCACGCCCACAAGTACCATCCATCATGCCTGTAGTACGCTTTCAACGCGTCATGAGGACGCGGGATCTCCTGCCCACGTGTACTCACAATACACTATCCCCTGAATTGAGAATATCTCCGCAAGCATTATATGTAGGAGAATAGATATTCTTCATATGTGGTTGCGAGGTTACGCAGGCAAATGTGGTCACAATTCTCATGGGGAGGAGATTGAGACTCCGTCGTGAGTGTGTTTTGCATGGGGTTATTTATGTATTTTGCAAGGGAATGTCAATGGCAATATTGTAATTATATAGTATGATTTTTCATCATTTTGATGTTTCCTTTTATCACTTTTGCAAAAGCTTAATTTACTCTTTGAGGGAAGATAGGTAGTTAAGTGTATCAATACTGTGTAAAGCTTAAGCACGAGTCGACACAAACTTATGTGCTTGTGCTTACCATCAATTGATGCAATACAAATAGCCTTTACTAATTCGCATGTCATTTTGTTGCCTTTTCTTGTGTTGTTGTGTCGCTTAAGCTTACTCGACGCATTTGGGTGTCATACAAGGCCCCAACTACTAGCCCCATGACAAATGGTATTAGAGCAGGAACTCCACACATTGGACCCTGTCAATTGACTCTCATTTTGCACGCACAATGAAAAGCAATCGTGACATCACTGATGAGATCTCACATGGGTTGTCCCAAGCCCACGACACCAATGATGCATCACTTGATGAACCCTCCAAAACACAAGCCCTAAAGGGCCGCACAACTAAAGCTAGCAAGCGTGACAAATCAGTCGATCAACTAGCAAGCATAGACATGACTATCCTACGTTGTGAAGCAATGGTAGGTGAGACCCGAGACCGGGTCGACAAACTCCACCTCAACCTGGAGACCATTGAGAATGCAATGGTGGAGCTTGAAGGACGATTCAATGGCACCTTCAAAGAGATCCATGGCCACTTACAACATTTGGAAGTTGGGCCTTCCCAAAGTAGCCTACAAGGCATGATAGATTGGTTTCAAGCACAACAGGACGAGATGACGCTCCTAAAAAGGGCGGTGGCTAACTCTACTAGCACATCATCTACCCCAGCTCCCATGAACATCAAGATTTGTCAACCAACACCCTATTCGGGTGCACGGGATGCTTGGGAACTTGACAATTTCTTGTGGCAATTAGACCAATGTTTTTCTGCCACTAGCATTAATGATGACAAAACTCAGGTACGTACGATCGCTATGTATTTAATTGATATTGCGATGCTGTGGTGGCATAGGTGTTGGTAAGACATTGAGTGTGGCATGCACACCATTAACACCTGGGTTGAATTCAAGCATGAGATCAAGTGACAATTCTACCCCTGAATTCAAGCATGACATGTCTAACAAGGACCTTGTAGACATGTGAGTATTTAAGCCAAATAAATAGGCTTAATATACATGGTAGCCCTCTCAAGTTAATATGGGCCTCCATGGGCCCAAGGCCCAAATCTACATAAATATGACTTAATGGCCCAAGGATCCAAGTGTACTAAGTCCAATATGGCCCATGCCCTATTATAATAGGGTGGTCCTATTGGCAAGACCACAAACTCCTATATAATGGTGCATGTATGGGAATTAACCCTAACCCAACACCCCACTCACATGGGATTGCTTAACAAAGTGGGGTGAGGTGGCAACCTTAATCGTTAGCTATAAATAGCCTTGCCTAAGAAGAAATAGCTCATCTTTTTCACAAGCACATTGCAAGAAGCTCTCAGACACCAACACTAGAGATTTCAAGCAACCACAAGCTCCTACAAACTCTAGCAACTAAAAGATCAAGAGAGAAGAAAGAAGGGAAAAGCTTCTTCTTTCTCTACAAGACACTTTGATTCAAGCTCTCCAAGAAGATCAAACCACCATAAAAGGGCCCTTCTTAGAGAAGCATCCTTCATAGCCGATCAAGCATGAAACTCGGTGTGAAGAAATCTACATTAAATCTCCAAAAGTACCAAAATTAAGGAAATCTGTATCAACACTTCAAGAAGTACGAGAAACACGCCAACGACCCTCGTCTTCATCGAATTCGACCATTAATCAGAGATTGTTCACATACAGAAATCAAAGAGAGTTCATTCTCTTGTATTTTCCTTTATTACAAAATTTATTTTTGTAATTTGTCTCCATATTTTGTGTTAATCAAGTACACGAAATTTGTGTCGACAAACATCTTATTCAATTTCATGGATAGTCTCAAGCCATGGGCTGAGCTCAAGCTTCAAAGATGTGGGGTAAAGGACCTCGCCACAATCATGGCCATAGTTGAACAACTTGTTGATCTAAGGACACCTGATGAAGGAGACCGAAAGCCATTCAACCCACATACCATGAGTCTGAGTGGGGGAGACCAATAGTCAACCACCCCACAGGAGAAACAAGTGCACCCCAAGAAGCCTAACAATTACCAACAAGGAAAGAAGCCACAGGGAGCCCAAAGCTATCAAGGCCATCAGTACACTAGGAGACCTGCAACTCCTTCCGCACCTTGTTTCATTTGCAATGAAATGCACTAGACTAGCGACTATCCCATGTGAAAGAAAATCAATGTCCTCATCGTCAAACTTAGTGATGATGAAGAGAGTGATGAGGAGAAATCCACACAGGCACCAACAGTAGGTGCCCTCCAACTTATAAATGCCATTGTAAAGAAAGAGACCACATCCAAGTGGCCCAACAAAGCCTACAAGGGGCTGAAATATGTAGACATCACCCTCAGCAGAAGGCCGACCCAAGCCTTGGTGAATATCGGGACCACTCACAACTTCATCTCCCTTGCGGAGGTAAAGCGATTCGATTTGGCCACCACCAAACAAACAAGGTGGGTCAAGGCGGCTAATTCGGGGGCCAAGGTAGTAGAAGGCATGGCCCGTGGAGTTGAACTATAAGTGGAACCATGGAAAGGCAAAATCAATTTATCTATGGTTCCCTTGGATGATTTTCAAGTTGTCCTTGGAGTGGAGTTTCTAACACAGGTAGAAGCACCCCTCATGCCACACCTCGACTATTCATCTTGGTCTAGAATTCCCCTTGCATGATCCCAATGACAACAACACTCGAGATACATGGGAAGCAACTTTCAGCCTTGCAACTGTACTAAGAAACAACCACCTGTAGAGCCAACGCCATGCCAACAACAATGAAGAAGGTCCCCTCTCCAGCACACAACACCAATGCAAGAACAGGTCATGAAGTCACCATAAAGAAGCAGTCTCCACAGAAGTCGTGCTAGCCCCAACAACAGCATCAGCATCAGCACCAACATAGCAAGCAACCAACACAGGAGATGCCAAGAAGACCCAAGGCCATTCCTAGCCACAACAATTTCCATCACAATCACTATTGGGGAGAGCGAGTGCCACTCTATCCATATAGGTACCCTTGCCGCAACATTCCTCATGCCAACCCTCATAGGAACCTTGTAAGGAGCCATCCTTGGGGGATAAATCATCATGGGAACCAATGCCCCAACAATCCAAAAACTCATTTTGACCTAAACCTGGCCCCAACTTTCTCTTCAACCAAGCTGGATTGTCCTTTGTCCTACCTTGAAGTAGCTAGGAAGAGACTTAACCAACAACATAGCCACAGGATTCCCTTAATTAGTGAACACCTTCAAGCCTACCATTCAATCTTAAGCCCAAGCCTTGGAAGAGATGAAGTTTGTGGAACAGTTGAAGAATCCTCCATCGCCAACAACAGATTCATGCAACAAGTAGATGCCAATTTTCAAGGACGACGATTGAATTGAGTGGGGAAGGCTGCCACAAGTGAACTCTTCATCGCTCTCACAAGTGTCATCCACCATGCTTGTAGCACACCTTCAACGTGTCATAAGTGTGTCTTGGGTGGGGCTATCTATGTATTTTGTAAGGGAGATGCCGATGGCAATATTGTAATTATGTAGTATGATTTTTCAGCATTTTGATGTTTCCTTTTGTCATTCCCCCAAAATCTTAACTTACTCTTTGAAGGGAGGTAGATAGTTGAGTGTGCCAATACCGTGTAAAGGTTAAGCACGAGGCCCCCTCGACACAAACTTGTGTGCTCGTGCTTACCATCAATTAATGTCATATAAATAGCCTTTTGGCTAATTCATGTGCCTTCTTGTTGCCTTTTCTTGTGTTGTTGTTTTGTTGCTTAGGCTTACTTGATGCATTCAAGTGCCGCACGGCCCCCCAACAACTAGCCCCATGACACTTTGGCATGGGATGATCTGATTGGCCGACATGAGAAAACACTGTTACAGATACGTGAGGTGAGGTGAGTTCATTCTCCTTTGAGGCTCTTATCTTTATTTTCATCTCTAAAACTATTTTTCTTGTGTCGTGTTCAGGAATGGCAATGGGGTGGGTTTGGGGCGAGGATCCATCCCCAACCCTGATTTTAGAATAAACCCCCGTCTCCAACCCTGATTCCTATTGGGGATAAAAGTTGTCCTCCATCCCCAATCCTTGATAGGGACGGGTTCTCCGTGGGAACCCAAATCCCTAAAATTTTTAGTTAACATTTTTTTTTTTGAAAAATAAATTCATTTAATGGTCCATTCCTATAACATGTTTCTTTCAAACGGAAATCAGAATCAAAATGATCCACTCCTATAACCTATTTGGCTCAAATGAAAATCAGAATCAACTGGAATGGGATCTCATTCCCAAGGGAGGGGACGGAATGGCCATTCTGTCAACCAAATGTTTGGAATTGGAATAGGTCATTTGGATTATGATTCTCTATTCCCACAAACCAATCCAAATTAGATCTCCTACCCACATGACACTATAGTTTTATATTGGGAACAATTCCCCATCAATGGTAACACACAAATACAATAAATGTTCTTAATGTTGGGTTTCTCCATTCTTGTGGAGGTGTGACCCACTCATGTGTTGGGGTCTCTTGTCCAACACATATCTTGAGAAAGCTTAAAAGAAAGACAAAATAAAATTAAGATTCTATCATAGTTACAATGAAACAAATTGTCTTGTCTTACTTCCATTATTAGTGGATGGTGGGACCCACTTTCCACTATCTTTTGGCTTTTTTCACAAGCGCCACTTTTGTCTAAGAGTCTCTTGTCATCTTAGACACTTACTTTGGTATCCTCTTTTGAAAAGAAAATGAGAAAAAGAGAATGGAAAAAGGTAATTCCCCTTTTACAACAGAAGAAAAAAAGATTCAAGCTTCTTACTACGTGAACAATAGCACTTCAATGAACTGTTTTAGTTGTTGTTTCACACTTATTCAATCAAGGCTTTTGGTGGATTTTCTTGGCTCTTCAACAATAGTGTTGGAGAGGATTTGAAAACTTTGTTTGATGAGGTTTTTCTCAAACTTTGTTAATTAAAATACATCTTTCTTTGATCAGTGTTCTTGTGTATCCCAGAGATGTCGTTATCCCTTGAAGTTGTTATCCTCTATTTGAAACTAGAAAAGTTGTAATTTCCATTATTTTGTTGATAGTAGAAGTTCCTTGGGTTAGTACCCCGTGGTTTTTCCTCTTCACATTGGAGAGGTATTTTATGTTAAAATTCCTAGTGTACTATTTCTCTTGTGATTTTTTATTATTTTTTTCTCATTGGATATTATTACTTATTATTTCTCCTTTGCCAGTTATATTGCTAATTTGCACACTGATAACAAGGGATTTTAATCCCAACACTCAATGTACAATTGTAGTGAGGTGTGGGTAGGGATGAGCATAATTCAGTTAAAACCAAAAATCAAACCGAAAATTTTGGTTTTGGTTTTTCCAATTCAGTTTTTCAAATTTTGGTTAGTTTGGTTCAATTAATTTGGTTTCAGTTTTTAAAATTAGACATTCGATTAACCAAATAAATCAAATTAACCAAACTTTGGTATATAATATATAATATGTAACGTATAATGTATAATATATTATATTAGTTGTATATTAATATATAATATAAAGAAATTTATTGTCATAATATATGTTATATGTTATAATATATAATATACTATATACATTATTAAAATTCAGTTTTAATTGAAAACCAAATCGAAAATTTCGATTATTTCGATTTCAGTTCATTTTTTATTTTTTTAATTCAATTTTAAAATTTTTGATTTATTCGATCTGGTTTTTAACCATATAAATCGAATATTCACCCCCAGGCATGAATAGGAGTGGGTAGGTTTCTTGTGGGTAGGAGATCCAAACCGAATTCTTATAAACAAATCAATTTATAAAAAAAAAAAGTAAAAGATAAAAATACAACAGTGCAAGAATGATACATCATCATCAGCTCTCCTCGGGGAACTAGAGCTGAGAGTGGTTGGGTCTGATTATTAATCGGTTATATAAACTGGACTCACAACCAAATCAATCATTAATTGGGATTATACCCCTTTTTTTTTGGTAAAAATACCCGATTATGTTTGAGATCTATAATTACTTCTTGTAAATTTGTAATAATATTTTGGAATTTCACGTTTTATAATATAACCTTAATTTAATTAAAATGACAATGAATACTAAGCCGTTTATATATTGATAAGTCAAATGTTTTAAACCAAAATTATTAGACATATAACATAACAGAAAACCAGAAACCTTTAGATATTATTAATTTTATCATCAGTTTCTGTTCCCAAAAAAGAACCTTTATTATCAGTTTGGAAGAACAAGAACTGATCCTGACCCAATTATTAATTGGGACACAAACCACAAAAAACAGAATTGACATGCTCTGTTCCGTCAATTTATTTCTATCGGGTAGACCCAACCCATTGAAACCTCTATGAGGAATGTTAAATTGTTGATTGTTAAACTATGCTATCTTTCCTTTAGAAAATTTTACTAATGTTAATTGTTAAAAGCCAGTTAGGTCGGCTTGAGATCAACCCTAGTCCAATCCAGGTTATGAACCTTTAACCAAACCTGACTTTTAAATCCATCTATTCATCAATCCTAACCCTAACCCAACCTAAATTCCCTCAACTCAAGCCCAATCTAAATCTTTCTCCCATCCTTTTAAAATTTTATAAAATCTCTCAAATTCTTTACCTTTGATTAGAAAACCAAACTCAACTTTTAAACTTTTATGACCATATATTAACCATAATTTTTTATTGATATTTACCAGTTTGATGACTTTATTGTTTCTTTTAGTACAAGGTGAAAGAAGGAAATTTTCAAATGATAAAGTCTGTTATGAATTATAGTTTATCTCCTGTTGAAGATCTGAAATTATGAAATCAGAAATATTAACAGTTTGTCATTAGGGTCGGTGATTAAGAGTTAAGAAGAAGTATCCGTATGTGCATAGCAACGGTAGGGTCATCGGGTTAACCCTAACCTTAACCCAATCGCTAACCCAACCCAACCCGACTTTTTTGGGTTGGGTTCGGGTTAACCCAGCCCAGGTTGCAGCCCTATTCCCACATCTCTTAACAAATCTTCTGGCAATCCCATATAAGTCAAAATCTTATCTACCAACCATCACCAATTCCATCTAACGAAACATCACTCTCCATTAAGAGCTTTAATATATAATAAGATTTCAAACACCACTGTCTGATAACTTGTTCCAAATGGCTAAGTGTATTGTCTCAATTCTGAAAAGACCGCAAGCAGAAGCAATAAAAAGCACCAAAACCGTCAGAAGACTCAGAACTACACAAATTTGACAACATTACTTGCATAGGGTTGAATTGAATATCGACACCCGTCCACCTTCTACTGTAACCCAATATACGTTCATAACCTATCAAGCGAAAAAGCATATTGATGTATATCATTATGTTTCATCAGGTATTGATTGACGTGAAGTCAACACGCATTTAGACTTTCTATGTATGTGAAGCTTGTCAAAATTTGTTGATGGGAACTGTTAGAGAATAAAAACCTATTCAAATGTTTGATCCTTGTCGTCCCCATGTATAATTAATTTAATTTAAACACAAGGTATGAGTAGATCTGTGTTTTCCATACTATAAATCAGCTTTATGCTTTTAGGTTGAACAGCTTCTTAAGAGGAACAAGACAATTTATAGCTCTTACTATCCCAACAAAAAACAAAAATTATTCTGACCACCTGAAATAAAATCTGCACAGAATATATCACTACTGTATCAAGTTGATCGATACTACCTACACATTCCAAATATCAGTTTTCTATTTTAAGACAGAAAACACTTGTCTGCAGCTTTTGTTTGATATTAACTTAGTGAAACCCATAAGCAATTCCAGTTCTGATGGTCAGACCATCTAGTCTAGTACAAGTCTGGCAATATTGCTTCGATATTTTTTAGATTATACACTATCTATTGAACTCAAACGTTTTCAAAAAACAGAATAAAATTTACAGTCAACGTAAACAAAACTGTGATGCCAAGATCATACAATCTAGTATCTGGGTCTCAAAATTTTGATGATTTGATCTACAAAGCTAAAACAAACCGGCTGTCAACTAAAGCGGCTTCTACCAGAACAATATTAATCCCGGGATTTAAATGGGAGAAACGCATTCCCTAGTTGAGATTCACATGCTGCATAGGCATCAGGTGTCAAAGACTTATGAAACGGCTTTTTAAGATTAAGCCCTGAGACTGCCTGCAAGACCTGGCCACAGAACCTACGAACGTCAGACCGTCTCGATTGCTTCTCTGGCATGTTAGTCAGCAGCTTTTCCATCAACTTACAAAGTGCAGATATGTGGGCCTTCAACAATCTCCTGCTTGCTAAATATTTTTCACCTTTATCTGCCGTACCAGAAACCAATGACTTGAGTATTTCATCGATTAGATCAAGTGCTTCAACTTGCCGAAATTCCGACTTTGCACTACCACATTTATCTAGTAGGAAATGGAAGATCCGTTGACCAATCCATGGCTGACGCCGGAAAACTTCTTTCACAAATTCAGACTTCAACTGACATTTTTTACTATCAAAATATCTCACTAAAATGCGCTCAAAAATATTCGAAATTCTCTGCAGTTCAGAATCAGAGAGTTCTTTTGAATGAACGATCTTCAAAATCCAATATGTTGAATTCTGTGCAACAGATGTAATCATTTTGTGTCGGTCCCAGGAGGTAGAATGCTTCTTTGATGAGTTAGAAGCAGATTTCTTTCTCTTGAATGGTTTTGATGCCCACTTCAAGTTCTTCTCCAAGAGGGTTTCAAGTGTAGAAAGTTGAACATGTTCACCCTTTGGATATTCTTTTGCCTTGAATATTTTCTTTTGTAGGATTCCCCAAATACGCTGTCCAAGCTGCTCACTACCTTCAGCAGTTCGAGGATTTACGAATGCCTGTACTAAGTGTGAGAACACCGTCAAAACCTGGGGTTTACCTGTATAAGAGAGAAGACAAGTGCAAATCCAGATAATTAGACATATAGATAAAGTACAATTTTTTCTTTAGTTACAATATTCGTCAATATAAAGGTGTTGGCTAAATATTAGTGATGGAAGAGGGAGCATAAGATACCGATTTGATTAGACATGTGGTTTATACAAGCCTGAAGATATCAAGGGGTGCATGATATGGTGAAACATATTCAACAATGATTTCACCATGTCTGTGATGCAAAAATAAGCATAACTCAGATGTCAAAGGACTCAAAACTATCCATGTTACAGAGCTCCTCTTTCTTATCATTTTCCCTTCCCCCATTAGCCCATTTCTCCACAAAACCAAGATGAATTTGACAGAGAACGTAGCCATTGTCATCTACTTGGTCCATTTTGGTGTCAAGGATACTAAGATAATGGTTGGTTACTCGGTTTGGCATTTGCATGTCAGCCATGCATAATGGTGCCACAAAAGTGAATTTGTTCTTATTCAAAATTATATTTGTTTCCCATCTATAAAAATAAGGTTTTTATAGATCCCACTAAATCTGACAGTAGGATTTGGACTTTGTCAGCCTCTGGGGTCTTTTCTTGTGCATCCCATTTCAAAGGTTTAATTCAATCATCCAATCCTCTAGGGCAGCCTTTTCCGGTTAAGTCTGGTGTAAACTTATTCCACCAAGGGTTGGGAGTTTTTGTTGGGAAGCATTCTTGAAAGATTCAACACTTGTGATTTACTTCAGGAAAAGAGACCTAAGATTCAGCACTTGTGATTTACTTCAGACTGGTTACCACTTATTGATTTCTTGCTCTTTTACTAATTATATTTGGGAGTGGTGTTTCTCTTTGTTTGGGTGCAGGTGGTCTCCGCCATCGGATGTACAAACTCTTTTTGCCCCTACTTTGTTTAGTAGTTAGCCAAAGAAAAGAAGAATAATGTGGAAATGCTCAAAGGCCGCTATTGGAGGAGGAAAGGAACGGAAGTCTTTTCAGATAAAGAAAGAAGTCCACAAGATCTTCTAGAGGTGATCCTCCTTAGAGTGGTGCAGTGGCTGAGGTCTTTAAACCTGTCTAAAGACTTTACAGTGGCGGATTTGGTCAGAAAATAGAAGGAAATTGCAACTTCAGCTCCAGCCAAGGACACCTCCCCTACCTACTTGGACTCCTCCCAGTGGTTTCTTAAACTTCGATGGAAGTAGCATTGGAAATCCAGGTCGATCAGGTATTGGGGGTGTCTTAAGAAATGAGGAGGGTAGGGTATTAGCTATGTACTTGGGGCCAATTAGAGTGGGTATGCTCTCCAGGCTGAGATCTCAGCTGTCCTAGAAGGAATTCGAAGGGCTAATGAGATGAACATCACTAAATTGGTTATAGAGGGAGATTCTAAATTGGTAGTGAGCTGGCTAAAATAAGAAAATGCTAGCTTTTGGAACTACAGCAATGAGAAGAAGAAATTAAGTGGCTGACTAGGATACTGAAGTAAAACTGAACTGGGTAAACTTAAGTGCTAACTCCTTTGCTGATGAGTTAGCCAAACAAGGGTGACTAGGGGCTCTATGTTTTGGGCTCACTTGTAAACTTGTTTTTCTTTGTTTTTCTGTTTGTCTAAGGTGGGGCGAGTTAAAGAGATTTCATCTCCCTTTCTCCTGTATTTAATTCTTTTATTAATGAAAGTTACAAGGTATTGATCAAAAAAAGGAAAAACTGTTAAAAATGATAGCATGCCTGGATTTTCATGTAGATATATTTCCAGCAGTGAGAGGACACGAAGCTTAAAGAGTGCCAGCTGGGACTGAGCAGTTTCGCCTCCAGCCTGGTTCTTCCGCTCCTTGAAAATCTGGGCAAGATATGAATCCATCCGGAACATTGCATCATCATCCATTCCTCCATCAGAATCATCAGAAGCTTCTGGAAGGTCTTCATTAACATCCTTCATTCGGCCTAGTGCTTCAGAATCATCTGCTTCATCATCACTATCACCCATTTCAGTTGTCTCAGCTTCATAGGTTTCCTCTGCTTCTTCAATGCCAAGTAGATCTTCATCTTCATCTTCATCATCTTCACTGTCACTAACCTGATGGCGAGCAGGTTTCAAATCTTTTTTTATAACCCGCAGCATGCGAAGCAACCCAGCATCTGTAACTTCATTGCAGAAGAACCTAAAAACCTACAAATACAAATCAAGTAAAAATTTTAAAAAAAAAACAAACAAACAAATTATAAGTGCTCCAAACACCAATCAGAATATTAGAAAAACATGTTTGCATAGCAAATATCCAGAGCCAAGAAAAATCAAATCTCATAATAGACCAAGTTTTACTGGTTCCTGTTAGGATCCCAACTAGACATGTTTGCAAATTGATTATTAGAAAATATTAATAGTAGATTTGGCTTAGATTAGCAAGCAGGTAGGATCTTAAATAAGATGAATTGCAGCCCAGGAAAAAGTTGATCTAGTCCAAATCTGAACCCAATCATATTTGGTGTGTCCCACATAGGAAAAAGTTATTGTAATTGGATCAAGTAGAAAACTTCCCTATACAACCCCAACTACTTCTGAGACAGGTGAATTGAACCCTTAGTTTTCATTTAATTGGGCCCAGACAATGTACCGGATCCAGTGTTCAAGGCACCATATTTAAATATGGAGTTGACCAACATTTGTTCTTACTTTTTAACTTAGCCTGAACCCCAAATATTTAGGGTTCGCCTACACAATGTCGGTCCCACTATTGTGCTCTATCAGGAGTCATGTTTTCTGCCAAATTGTGTAAGTTCTTTCTAGCATTGCCAACTCATCCATCTCAACTTCCTCACCTCAGCTCATTCATTTTTTCTGCCAAATTGTTTCTTGATTGCCCAATGCTCATTGTTCAGTATGAGGAACTCTAAGCACAATTGAATTCAGATGAAACACTATGAAAATCAAATTAGATCCATTTTCTGTGCTAGATATGTTAGATATACAGAACCTTTTGTTATTCTGTAAACGAAGTAGTGATAAGAAGAGTTTGAATATTTTGAATAAGATTTGTTTCTTTGGGTGCAGAAATTTTATTTTTTTTCCCCATTGATTTATTGGTTATATGGTTGATGACTGTGTCTACTTCAAACCATAGATTCAGATCTGAGTGGTTTGGCTTGCAGGTAAACACCAGCCACAAAATACCCCATTCTCACATAGCTGCTGGATCCTGCTTGTTGGATTAGATCTCAAAACTCAGTCGCTGTCATCTCACTGCCCACCATCAGAATCTAGGAACACCATGATGGCATGATCAACTCTGATCAACCAAAAGTTTTGCTTTTTTTCTTCCCATGACTTGCAACATCTCCATAAGCCTTATTGATAAAAAAAAAAAATCTTCATAAGCCTTTAAAATTACATTCCCTTCCTTACCTTTATCCAGCTTCACAAAAAGGATACAGAGGGACAGGATTAATGCTACCTCTCCATTCAGATATACAACCATATCAGCCCCCCACCCCAAAAAAAAAAAATCCAATTTTGATTTTTAACCTAGAGATAAAGATAAAACTTTATTATCTTACCCCTAACAAATGTGAATTTGGATTAGCTGAACATCATAACTGTTCAGCAGGCTGTGGAACCAATGGTAGTACCCCACGCCAGTGAAAAAGTACATGGTGCCCATGATGAGAAATTAAATGGCTGTGGGTCCCATGTATTTCATTACTGACGTGAAAAGATATTATTGGTTCCACGGCCTGCTGAACAGCTATTGCGTTCAGCTAATCCTTACTCAACAAATGCATGGTACACCACATCTGGAATATTAACATTTCAAGAGGGTTCCCATTTGTCAATACAAATGAGTTCCACGCAGTTTTCCAGATATGTGGTATCAGATGAATTTGCAAGGATAACAAGAAAAAAAAAAATTATATGCTTAGCATTGTCATATGTAACCTCATCTAAATAGAGCATCAAATGGAGAATATTCACTAATTAATAATTGAAGAAAGGGTAGTCATGGCACATATTGATAAATGGGTCTGTTAATACCTGCATACTGATGTTTAAATCCTTCCTTTGGAGCAGTGTTCTAAAAGCACAAGGCACAAAACACACACACACACACACAAGGGGCTTTTTTCAGCCAAGGTGCAAGGCACAAGATGAGGCATGTGCCTTTTCGAAGGGGCTTCAACTGGGCCTAGGTAAGCGTGGGCCTTGAAATGCACTTCACCTTTGTGCCTAGGCATGCCTTTCAAATAACTTCACTGAGGACAACTACTGGTTTCAGATATAGCAACCCAAAAATCCTAATAAGTTGACACATCTATAGAGTTCATTTCACATATGTTAAACATATTCACACAGGATTGTTCATATAAGTAACCAATTAGGAGGAAATATTTACAAACCAACAATCATGGAAAATGCATACAGAGATACAAACTTCATCATATAAGCCTCATCCAAACTATTTTGGTTCAGTAAGTATCAGCTAATGCATAATATGAGTGCCATAAAGGTGCAGGCATAGCCGACAACCAGAAAATGTAAATTTCTGGTTAAGAGAATCATATAAATGGGAACAAACAGATTTTCTTAAATGGGAAAATCTATGATACAGGAAAGATATAATATGGAAAGAGTTTTGACCAATCAAAACCCACCCATGAATTTTGATAAATGACACCTGATTCACTACCACGTTTATGATTCCAATTTATTGGTCAGTTGTTTGTCCAATATCATATCTTTTCCATATCATAGTCGAACCCTTCTTAAATACATGCATCCCTTCACACACAGATTATGATATTTGCTAAAACTACCTAGTCAAAGATATTCTTGCTACTGTCATAGCACTCACCTGCTCAATAGCAGAGCGCATGGGAGCTGATGACTGTGGCAACAGTGAAAGAAGTGTATCCAAGAGCACATCCATCAACACTGGTGGTGTACCACCATTATCCAATTCATCATCTTCATCCAATGAGTTGATAAGATCAGGAGTATCATATGCTTTCTTGCAACAAATAATGAGTTCAGAGGCAGCTTCAGAAAATTCTCCAGGTCGAAGGAGAACTTGCAGCAGCAACTGGATAAGCAAGTAACGCAGAGCATGCAGTTTGTTTGCATCATTGCCAGGCTCACTATTCCTTTCCTGAAATAGTAGTAATGATTCAAGAAATATTAAATAACATAAGCCATGGAAGAGAAAGTGTATGATCAATGGTTGAGACTGCAAAACAGATTATAGTACCTTCTGGAAGAGCCGAATTTCCATTTCTTGCAGTTTCTTAAATGCAATATCATCCTCATTGCTCAAAGTCCTGAAGAGTGAAACAGAAGGTATGCTGCATAATGTGCCAAGGAAGCGCATGAAATAAGATCCTAGGTCATTTGACTCAGGACCGTTCATCACAGACGGTAACCCCTCTCCTTTCTGAACATTTGACAGTAATAACTGGAGTTGTTCAACGCACATCCTGCATAAAGCACTTGATATAGCTGTTCTTGGCCATCTAAACTTTTCCTGTAACTCAAATGATGTCACCTCAGTGCCAAGAGATGCAGAGAAGAGACCCTGAACAGCTAGAAACTTCATTATTTCTTTCTGAACCCGAATCTTTGTGTCAGGATCCAGCTTCAGTTGCTTCGAGACACGAGGAAGTGACTCTATAATCCAACTTCTGAAAAGATCCGGACTACCCGATGTCAAAGTTGAATCTTTATCCTCTGAACCCATCTCCGAGTTTTCATCAGTGGTCTGACTCTGATCGGATGGTTCATCCACTGCACGACCTTCATCTACAAACATATTAGTCAAGTTCTGGATAAACAACATGCAACCTGCCCCAGTTTTGAAATCTGCCACCAAATCTTTGACTGTTTTTGTCCGTGTGGTGCAATCAAATCTCCCACTGCTGTGTTTCTGTAGGGCCACAATGACTGCAACTCGTCGATTATCATCATTGCTAACACAATTTGATAATTCCTTCAAAAAATAGTGTGCAACCTTGTATAGCCAGGAATCCTTTGTTGAAAGGATATCCATCAAACAATGGACAAGCTTGTGAGAGAGAACAATCTCGACACAAGATGCAGGTAACTTGGGAAGGAGGAGAAGCAGAAGATCTAAGGCCAAGTGTTTGCGATCATGAGATGACTGAAGAAGACATCCATCTATAACAACTTCACAGAAACAGTGGAGGTTCTTCACAATGTCTTCTTCAGAAGAGCCACACTTGCGACTCCTCTTGTTCTTCTTAACAGAATTAAAACCCGATGCTGCATCATCCTCCTGTAATGCCATATCTGGTAAGAGATTATTTATCAAAACAGGCCAGACACTATGAACTCGAGGCTGACAGAAGGTTGATTCCTGCAATTTACCAATCAAGAATATTTAAGATATCTAAAGTCTTCCCTACTTAAACACCTGGGTCAAATGACAGGAACTGAAGTTTACCTTAAAGCATGTAACAAGGGAAGACATATGATCAGCTGTAAACAGCTTATTTGGGCTGAATGGATATGGCAATAGCTTGCATAAATGCATGCTGTCTATGGAAATTTTTTCACGGATCTTCAAGGCTAAAAGCAATGCATCTGGATTTCCAACTTCTGGTGCTCCTTCAAACCACTCATGCATGCCTGGAGCCTCAAGAACATGACTCAACAAAGCATCTGCAGGCAACTGCAAGACTTGGAAGAAAGAATATAAGTTTTTTATGGACCAGAACACATTGGAAAGATGTAGTCACATTTTTAATATCTACAAAACTGAATTAAAATCAGAAAAATATAATGAAAGTTTAGTACCAGTCAACAAATTATGATATTTAAGCAAAGAGTTAAACGTGTATAGAAACAGGAAAAAAACAATGAAAGTCAAATATGCACACAAACAAATGGCCTTCCCACTTGTGTAATCTTTCTCATTATACACCATTACAGAGCTTGGATTTTGGGATAAAAAAGTGGAAGAAGCCCCCTTCACAAACCAACTCAGTATGTTTTGACTAGACACACAAACAGTGAATCCTAAAAGTAGTGGAAAGAAAGAATCCTTGTTTCTGGTAGGTGTTGCCATTTCTGACCACTACAAACATAGACTAAAAGATAGAAAGAGAGACGCTATGACAGCAACCAACAAAGAATGAATGACCAACAAGATCAACTCTACATGTCCACCAAATAAGCTTCCATTTCCTGCAGAGTCCCATTAGGATTGGGTGGTTTCAACTTAATCATATCTATAAAGCCTTATTCCAACTGTTCTAGCTTAGATACACAAGTCCTGTTTCACTGATCTGATCCGTCAAGGGACAACAATATTTTATTGCAAATGACGACCAAAAGATATTTTACTAATTTATATGGAGGGCTTTGTATAAAACATGTTAACTCAGCCCTATTATAAATTCTTATGTATAATTTGGCCCCATATCTTGTGTTAATTCAAGACACAAAATTTGTCAATAGTTACTTCATGGATGTCTGCAAAAATCAGGTATAGATACTTGATAGCAGCAAGAGCTCCTCTATGTGTGTGTTTCTGTGGCTCAAGCAAGCAATTTTTATTTTTCTTTTATACCTAGTAACAGGGTGGGGTGGGGCCTCTCTTTTAAACCACAATGGAGATTTTATTCTTATTCCTAATGAGCTTTGAATTAAGTCTTTGTTGTATAACCATACACTTGCTGTTTGTTTATGCCTCATAGATGATTCTTTAATTTATAAATGGTATGGGACTCTCTATAAAAACAGGGACAAACAATCCCTAAAGGTAGTATAGAAAGGTTAATGAGACTGATAAAAAAACATGAATCTAAACAGCGTTAAAATCGCTGTAAATGATTGTTATAAAGACTTAACATACTTTACAGGTAACAAAACACAAGTATTCTCATAAAATTTAGATGAGAATAAAATACCTGTTCAACCAAGTTTAAAACAACCAAGACAGCTGGCTCTTGCAAATAGCGCTTCTTGGCAGCAAGAGAGATGACATGGTTGATGAATTCCTTGACAAGAGGAGTATTTTTATTGGAAACCCACTCTTGAGCTATTCGCTCAGATCGAACAAGAGAGCCATAAGCAAACAAACGACCTAAAAGACAATCCCTTACTTCCTGAAATTGCATAAAGAAGGAACTGAAAAATATCACATGCAGAGAATGGCAACTATATACCAGTATTCTTCAAAGCATGATTTASCATGTACTTACCTGACCCTTCATTGAAGAAGAGACCTCTAACAAATTAACTATTAGTTTCATCAAAGACTCCACTCTRATGCTAGGAATAGCAYCAACTACAACAGTCAACCCCAATGCAAACCCTTGTCTCGCACACTACAGAAACATCACAATGTTGACAACATGTTTTAAGTCAGCTTCTGAAATTGCACAAATAAGTGGGCTGGTTATAACAATATTTCAGTAAATCAGCATAACCAATTAGAACCCCAAAGAAAGACATAAAATGAAAAAATTGCAAAAATGTGTTACAATTTCAACATGCCATATGTATCTTGACCAATCATGCTAGATATCTGCCACTAGTGAACAATCAGTAACCATTAGATTAGTTTCTGGTATAACTTCTCCAACTGGAGAGCATATTCAACTTAATACAACTTGCTTAAATCATAAATCTACTTAAGGAGACGTTGCATAGTTGCATGTACATTGTGAAAAAAAATAACCGCCCATGTTTGACAGCCTGTGCTGTCCACAGGGCTATGTTTGCATGACATGTTAATCCACACAAACTCCATGTAATGGACTAATGGTAAAGGCACTGGATGCATGGCTGTGGGCTTATGTTTCACACAGAGAGCCTATGGAAAGCCCAGGCTGTCAAACATGGACAGCCAAAACTTTCTTGTGCATCGTTGGAATTGCTAACCGAACAAATGAAATTCACAAATCAAGCATACAATATCACTCACCAAAACAAACAAAATAAGACCAAAGCTGATACTTTCCCCAAAATACATACAAGCCCTACAGCAAAAGCAATTCCCTACCTTGGTGTGGACACCCAATACAATCCTTTTCTACTGATTACCTTTTTATACTACATGAAACTTTTTTTAAAGAATATAAAGGAAGAAAAAAGAAACAGGCAGAATGAGGAGATGTGTCTCACAATTAAAAATAAAAACCACCCAAGGATTTAATAATAGGTGCTGAGTTGTTGGTAATAGGTTGGCCAAGGGGCCATTGTTCTAGCAAAGAGAGAAAAGAGAGAAGAGAGAAATCTGGTTGAGGAGTAAGTATGGGAGAGGAGAGGAAGTTCAAGCTGGCGGGGAAATGGAGACTGGATTTGTCCATTGAAGCAAAATCTTTCCTCTTTGAGCAGGGAAGGACAAAGGGGAAGGCTCTATTGAAAATCAGAGAAGGGAGCAGGGCGTCGATTCTCCTACCAGAGGAGGCCTGTGTGTGGCTGAAAGGTTTTGTAGATGGAGCTGTAAATTCCTTTCGAGAAGAAGGTTGGAGAAACTCGTTGACCTGTGAGAATAAGAGGTTCGAAGCTGCGCTAAAAAGGAATGGAAAAGGGTGGTTCATTATGGTCACCAAACTCTTTGGTTTTAACAAAAAGCAAGTGATGTGTATTCCAGAAGGTCTGAAGCGAAGAGGGTGGGCTTCTTTCGCTTCTAATCTTCAGGCTTTTCTCTTGGAGGTCGAAGGTAGAGTAGAAGAAGCCCCTGGCTCGAAGGTTTGTTCTGTGCTCCGCCCAAAGCTTTACCCTGAAGTTTTGGTGTCCAGCTCGTCTGTCCTCCGACGAGTAGAGCGGAAGAAGGGAGAGGGAGTTGGGAGAAGAGGGTGGTTTTAGTGGCAGAAAGGGTGATAGAAGACTGGACGAAAGTTTTAGAAGTTTTAACAGAGAGGTTGGGATCAGAGGAAGATGTATTGTTGCTACCTTTTGCTGAAAAGAAAGCCTTACTAGATATTGGAAATAAGACTTTGTTCTTCAATTCTTTCCTTGTAGAAGGAAGCCTGATTAAGGTCCAGAATTGGGCTCCAGATTGCAATGAAGTTGAACCCAGAGCCGGCAGTTTTTGGATGGATTAAACTTCTCAGTCTTCCCTTCAACCTTTGGAATGACCTTATTCTGGGGAAAATTACTAGAGCGATGGGTGGAGTTCTGTTGGAGGCTAACTTAAGTAACTTGAGAGCGGTGAAACTCAAGGTTGTTGGGATCAATCCGGAGAACTTGCCACGGATCTTCGAAGTTCTCTCAGAAGAAGCTTGGCACAAGGTCTGGTTAGTTTCAGAAGTTGAAGCTTTGCTTTGGGGAAGACGACCAGAGGTTGAAGACTCTGACAAGCTCGTAGGGGGGTGTACACGTGGCCTTCAGGRGCTGGCGGGTAAGTCTGTTGAGTGTGGGCGTTTAACAGAGGAAGGGGAATAGTGGCAGGGGTGTCCCAAGTCTCGAAGCCTTCCTATTTTGGCTTCTTTTTCAAATTTTTTTGAAGAAGGGTTGTGTAAAGAGGGTGGCTCATCCTATGTTGACGTGGCTAAGTTGGGAAAGACCGATTCCCGCGCTAAGTCTCTCTCCGAACTGGCTCTAAGAATGATCAAGCCGATTGGGCCAGTGGGTGAACTTCCTATCGGTTTTAAAAGCCCACGTGACAACTTAAGTCATCACGTGGTGCGGGGCAGGCATGGGACGATGATAGATGACTTCTTTCATCTATCATCGTCTAAGTCTCGCCCTCTCAACTATGGAGGGGCAAAGTTTGCGAACAAGGCTGGAGAGCGCCGGCCTTTGTGCTGGGTCCGACGGGCAGCCGGCGACAAGCAAAATCTCAGCCTTTCTGATCGCCCGAACCCGCGCTATTCGAGAGGCAGACCAGAAGAGAAAGAAGAGGCTGATCAAGGCTAGTTGAGCTGCGGTTCAGATTCTGATCATGTTGATAGCTTAGATGACTGTGGGAGTTTAGGCAGTGCGGCAGTTGAAGCTCTATCTAAAGGTCAGAACAGCGATTCATTTAGCATGGACTGTTTGTTCTTAGGGGATTCGATGGGGGAAGGAAAGGTGGAGGGGGAGGAGCGAGTGTTCGAATTTAACCCATTACTGGTTGAGCCCCCCCCCTCAGTTCTAGTGCTTTGCAAGAGGCCGAAAAGGAGGTTGCTCGGGTTTTCTCAGAGCAGAACAAGGGTACTTCACAGAGAGGTACATACTTGGGTACAAAAAGGGGTCTTTGTGTTGATACAGCGATAGGGATTTCCCTCCCCCATCTCTGGGAGACAGAGTGCTCTGTTTTCCTAAAAAGTGCTTCTTTAGGGAAAGAGGAAACTTTTGGGGAAGAATCAGTTGTAGAGTTTGTGAAAAAGTTGGAGTGCAAGCTGAAGAACCTGAATGACCTAAAAGCCTACATGCAAAATAAAGAGGACAGCAAGATGAAGTTTAGAAGGCTGAGTGAAGTGGAGAGATTAAAAAAAGATATTGAGG